GCTGGCACGGAACTCCATAGGTGCCACCGACATCCTTCTCAGATTGACACAATTTCCCTACTTGAGCGTTAAAGTCACCAGCTAGAACGACTATATCTGAGCGTTTAGCCTTTCTCACCAAACTAGACAGCTTTTGGTAGAACTCATCCTTCGTTTCATCCGAACTGCAGTCAGTGGGGGCGTAGGCGGAGATTACGAAAAGGCATCGGCGAGTAGTGCAGTCCTTTCTCCTTCTTACTGATCCGTTCAGACGGACAGCACACATTCGGCTATCTACCGGGATCCAGTCAAGCAATGTCTTTTCTGCCCTAGTACTCAAAGCTATCCCTACGCCAGCTAATCCTCGTGAACTAGCTGTGGCATCTCCTGACACCCTCAAGGTGAATTTTGAAGATTCATCCTGTTGGCCAGGTGGGGTTAGGTGAATAACCACACTTGGGTCTTGTATGCGTGTTTCTGAAACACAACATACATCAATGGCTCGAGATGCCAGGGTCTTAGCTAGTGATGCTTGTTGTCCTATTTGGCAAAGTGTCCTAACATTAAATGCTCCTATATGAAATTGGTGGCGTGGCTTTAGGAGACTATCCGTGGTGGTTTTTTGGCTTTCGTCGTTTTTAGTGGACACAGAGTGAAGAGGGAGTGAGGAGCCATCAAGTAGAGGAGTTGCATCAGTGGAAGGAAGGCAAGGTAATAGAGATGAAGATGAAGACAAAGATAAGTGAGGATTAGAGAGGTTTTGTGTGCATTTCGGATTGTGAGGGCGATTGTTACTTCCCGGCTGCCCACACCGTGGAAGTTGGTTGCGTGACCGCAGAGCCCAGGGGACAACTGCTTGAGGCCGGTCACACGCGGCCTGTTTTTGATTGTTCTTTATTGTTTTGTGTGCCTCAGTAGCATACTTATCACTCCTGCCCTGTGACACGGCAGCAGGAAGCGCGGTCGTTGTTAATCCGGGCCACGGCCGATCCGGCATGAAATTTTGTGAATTTGTTTGGATCATGGTATTGGATGGGGTAGCTGCTTTTTGTTTAACCGCTATCCAAACAACCTGCCTGGCATGGTAGAACCTCAAGAGACATAAGTCTCAGCCAGTATAGCTTGATTAGGTCATTGCGGTGTTCAAGCCCGACCACCACGTCAAGGTAGCAGCTTTCGGTCGGGTCAGAGACGTGGTCCGATTGGTAACACTGAGACAGCATTTCAAGTTACTAATTGCTTTCGATGGTATGTCTAAGCAAGTAGCATTTTAGCATTTAAGTGCAGGAAAGAGGACAACGTGAATGGTATTTAGAATACCAACAACAGGGGGTGGTTAAATTCGAAACTGGTTCATATAGCCAAATAATACCACACGTCACTATCCACAAAACCAACAGAAGATGCTGGCTGAGGAACACAGAACAGCATTGAGGAGACTATATGAAAATGATGACATCGCGATATTTAGACATGATACAAGCTCTGGCGTTGTTATGAGGAACTGAACTGAATACTTCCTTAGAATGGTGACAGTTATAAACGATCGGGAAGTTCCAGGTAGACAAAACTAAAAAAGATGCAACAACCTCATATGAAAGTAAAATAAATAAATGCCTCAAAGAACTCTTCACCAAGAAACTGATCGACCTCAAAACGTATGATGTGATTAAACCAAAAGGTAGATGCCTCGCTTTTATCTGCAGTCCACTAAAATTTCAGATCAGCATGCCACAGGCTAACTCGATGCTTAGCTAATCCATTGAAGCCCATGAGAAAGATAATTCCAATTCATAAATGGGAATTTACCTTCCAGTTTCCTAAAGAAATGGACCATGTTGATATATCAAATAAACTAATGGTGTCGTATGACGTGACCGTCTTATTCATAAATGTACCCGTATGGAAATAATCGACATCATTTGTTGACAAACAGATCTATCACCACTATCGAAAACAGAGATGAAGCGTCTCCAAATTCTCTGCTCAGAAGACATCCAATTCAAATCTAACAACCAATCTTACTGAAAAAATTGGTATGGTCGTTATGTGTTCAACTCTATGACATATTCTGACCGATATCTTGATGGGTGATCTCGAACAGATGCTGCTGAGTGAGTTGTAACATAAGTGGAATAACCCACTCTCGCCGGTACGTCGATGAAAGCTTCGTTATCTGTAATGAGCGAGTCAGACACATGCATTATTTGACCGTCTCAATGAAATCCACCCAAATATTGAAATCATCATGGAATAGGAACACGAAGATTTTTTCAATTTCCTCGACCTTATTGTAAGAAGAAGAAACGATGATATGATGGAAAAATCAACCTACAGAAATGAAACCTAGACCGGACAATATCTTCACCCCAGCAGCTTCTGTCCTATAAGCTATAAATGTGGATTAGTAAGGACACTGTACGACGATGTCAGTAAGTTTTGTTCGCCAAGGAAGGTAGAAGAAGAATTAAGGTGTGTTGAACAATTCCTAAAGGTTTGTGTGTGTCCAAAGGGATGTATGTAAAAGTCTAGCAAAGCAAAAGACAAGAAAATGAAACGTCCAACTGTGGTAGGCGGGAAGATGGTGTTCATTTGTCTCTCATTCGCAAAGGAGAAGCAGTATCACAAAAAAATGAAAAAACAATGGACGGAGCAGTAAAAAGATGCTTCCCTGCATCTAACTTCATAACACTGTTATACAGCATCACATGCTATATAAGCCAATCCAACATGGACAAGTACCCTGATGATGCAATCACCAATAGCGTGCATTTACCAGAGTAAGCACATTTGAAGTACAGAAAGAAGGCGGGGCTTCTATCTGATTTTCACAGCATATCCCGAGAAACATACGTCTAAAAGGAAGCAGATATTCACCAAGTGCAATTACCAAACATCTTGTGGATATCGCCAGTCATCTCATTAAGATTTCCAAATCCTTCAAAATATTACACATACAATGGACACGGAAATTTACTACGATTTTCTGAAGGGATTGCAATCAAGCATTTTAAACCAGAGTTGTGCATACAGAAAGAGAGTAAAATCAATCTCTGACTCCCTTGGGAACTACATTTTGATTACACTGATAGGTCAACCATATTACTGATTTCAGCTCATTGAAGAAGTTCTCAATTTGATGAAGTATAATCTTCTTAAGTTGCTATGTCAACCTACGTGGCAACATTCTTTGTTCTTTCTCTCTTCAAACTAATAAAGGGAACCGGTTGTATGAAATTCTTTGTTATGTTTTTCGATTTCCCTATTCTCCTCCCCCGTCATTTCATCATTTCAGAGTATATTAACTGATGGTAACTTGATCCTCGAATTCTAGTGCCTACATCTTGCAAGCGTCTACTGTAAAATGCACGCTTTCTTGACTACTATTCAAACACTGAAGTGTGTTATGGTCGTCATTTATAACTAGTGTAATTTCAGACAGTAGTTTGCAGCTGATGAGAACCTGGGAAATAGAATGATGAGTTTATGTATTACTGCAAATTTGGTTTCCTTTCCTTTATTGAAACTTATCAAAGTAACAAAATGTATGAAATTTGAACAGCATTAGCGATTAATATTCGACAAAGATAAAGGCGTTTATCTACCAGTTGATAGCATTGACTTCCCTAAACACTTGTCCTTATCATTAGTACCAGTATGTTGTATCCAACTGACAGTATCGAAACCTACCAGGTCTGAAATGCACGTAAACAAAAAATATGCGTCATTCTGTCCGTCTGTCTGTCAAAATGCAGGTCATAATTATTCGTTGTGCAACTAATCAGAGACAATTACAGTGAACAGTCAGATTGTCCTGTGCATATGATGGCCAATAGCCCACATCTCACACACACAAACGGTTTCTATAGAAAACAAATCACATATCAGTATAAATATGCGAGGAGAATTCAACCGATCAACATATCAGATCGGTCGAGTGACAGAGATTTAGAGAGGTAAGTATCGATGCATTTATCTTTCACTACATTCTGTCTGACACATTCATTCTCAGTGCATTACATATCATGCCCCATTCACTAAACGCTAAGAACACTATATTGTGATGTGTTCAGATATTTTGATCCCTCTCCAAGCAGCGCGAATATAGTTAGATAAGAGGGAAGCAGCTTTACATAGACTCGCTTGTCAGCCAATCTCACACACAGAAGTGAACTCGTACATCGACGTTCATGCTAAACGGTGATGAGATGGAATGACAGTTGAGAGAGGCAGTTGACGAACAGAAGTCATCAACTCTATTCAACTAGATCCTACTCGTTATCATCGTCACACATGATAATGCTGAAATTCACTACAAAATATTCAACAATTTATTCGTTTCTTAGGCGTTCTGTGGCAGTGTTTTACCCATAAGTATCCGCAGGTACTCTTCTCATGATAGACTATGTGATATATGATTCAGAATATTGAAGACTGTAGGCAGACAGGGTAGGTGGCGTTTCCTGAGCTCCACCAACTAACACTGCTGTTGATGGGCATTGCAATTCATGTCAACAGTTAGCTGAAGTTCTCTTGTCTGAAAGGAGTGATGAGGTTGCATAAGGAATTTATGCTCATGTGGCGATAATTATCAAATTTTAACCACAACCTAACATGATATAGCATTACGCAGTATTAGATTTTGTGTGAAGCAAGAGACAAATGTCAGAAATGAACTTTTGAATCACTCAAATCAATCGAAACACAGGAGATTTCAACCAGAATTATTATTCCACATACTACTCATCATACTACTTATTTAGTATTGATTATATCCCAGTAAATTTCAGTTATCGTGGTTTCATTATTGTTATCGTATTGTGTATTTACATGTTTGAAAGAGGAGCTGAATTACTGCATTATGTATGCACCTCACCAAATTCCATTCAGCACAGCTATTGTGGTTTGCAGTGTACTTCTGTTTAAAGAGAGAGAGCAGAGTGTAGACGTGGATAATGCCAGTCAGATTTGACACTGATGTTCTACCAATTTTCTCATATTGTCTTTCCTTTCTATTTTACAGGTTCACTAGCACATCAAAGCATGCAGGGAAACAAATTCGTCGTGTTGTTGATTGCAAGTCTGTGTGTTACAGCGAATGCCTACTATCAAGGTCACAGGGTGAATGGTGTTCAGTCAGTTGCAAATGAATATTTGAATGAGCTCGAACCTTTGGTTGAATTGTCTGAAGATCTAGAATATCAGGAATCAGTAGATCCACATCAGCAAACATATGGTCAGTGGTCATCAGGCCAATCAGAAGAGCAGCAGCAGGAAGAATTGACTATGGCGGGGAAGAAGCTTTGTGTCTGTGAGAGTGAGGCGCCTCGAGTCCATCTACCTGTCAGGTATGACAACTTCGCTGAAGAAAGTTACAACTATGACTACCAACCTACTGAAAGCTCATATGGAGGCGCATATTATCCTGTTCGGAAGCGTCATCTAGCCTAATTGTCCCTATCCTTCCATATCATGCCATAATGCATTGAAATGCATGAATGTGTACCGGCGAATTCTGATGCAAATATGTGACACGGATAGTGTCGCATATTTTGCACAGATTTTCTTCTCTTCACTATTGATTAGTTTCCCCGGTTAAATAAAATGTTTTACAAGCCATGAGTGATATGCGTTTTCTCGATTGTGAAAGGAAAGTGATGTTGAGTATGTATTTGTGGTGGGTGGGTTACGGGTTGACTCGAATTGTCGATGAGTTTGTGAATTGTTCAGTCAGTTGACCAGAAAAACTTCCGAGGATATAGGTGACTGGGCTAACTGTAGTATCGAAGGATGTGATGGTTGAGAGTTTTGTTTATTGACTGATTTTGCCTGAGTATACTCAGCCTTTTGGTATGTATGATTCCGAAATGGAAGTACCACGCTGATAGTAGGCGTTTATCTTACTTGTGAGATGTTCAACTAGTGTGGTTGTCTATGTAATGAGTATATGTCGCTTAGTAAAATGTGAACTTATATGCATTATGTCCTTGGGAATGAAGTGATGTGACCGAAGGTAAATTCGAAGATATCCACCTATCTTTGGTATTTTTCGCCACTGCTCTCCCATGAATTCAGTAGGAATCGAATCTAGCAGCACCATTTTAGGACTGCTCAATCACTGGTACAGAATTCACCTGTTGGTGAATTCTAAATTTTGCTATCGAATATCCGTGTAGAGTGTTTGTCCGCATTCCAAACCAGGTATTTGTCAGTGGTCATGACTTGTCACTAGAACTCCGGGTATTTTTCATCCTCTCTGTTGCTAGTGGGTCCCAAGTTGATCTTTAAATTTCAAGTTCGGTCACCAGCTGACATCGGCTAAAGAATCACCAGGAAGCCGAGGATTACTGGCAGTTTGGGACTATTTACTAATATGCACCCACCAGCGTGCTTCCAAGCCAATACCTTCTGTTTACAAGCCATTAGGCCACTAGAACTCGATCCAGTAGCTCTTGAATTTTAACTCGTATTAATTCATGATTTTATCGCGACTGGCAGCAGCCAATGTCATCGACTAGTGCTTGTTTTCACGTCTGACCTGTGTGTCTCTTTACTGGAAGAGGCTTTGCTTGGTAACTGTCACCACAAAGGCGTATCATAGTCAACTGTCTCATTGATATCACCTCTAACCATAGCACTTTTGTGATGCTGGCTCGAATATCATGAAGAATATCAGTTCCTTCATTGATGTAGCCATGCTTTCCAGGCGAGTATCAATAAGTGCGAAAACTGACTGCACTACAGGTTTGTTGCTGAATACTTGAAAACATCAAGGTCTACAGTTTTTTTCCTTGACGTTCCCAGTGGAAAATAGGGGTTCAAGCTAGTGGCTTGAAGTTTCTGTAGCAGTGTTTAATTTTTACAGGATGGGGTTGCTAGCCTCATGCCCAACCTTGACTCTTTACCAGCATTATTCCCGGCTTAGCGAGGTAGAGAAGTGCCTTGTCGGCCGGCGGTCGAACCCCGGACCATGTGCATGATCGGCGAGCGTCCTAATCGCTGTGTTACCGACGCACAAAGGTCTACAGTGATGGTAAGTTATCTCATTTAGTAAACGTGTTTCGAACATGACTGCCAATCATCATCACCGCTAAGAACAATCAAAATGAAATTATCCAGCGTTTGCATAATTCCCCCACTATGTGATTCATTTGTTAATCTACCGCCATTTCTAAACTAACACCGAAAGAATCGATATTTACCGAACCGTGCATAACAATCTAGCTTCATAACAGATTTGTGAGAATCGGAAGGTTTAGACAAAGCAATAAGAAGACGTGATTTGTCTAAATAGTGTGTGTAATGTATTTGCGCGCAACACATTTCGAACAATCTGATCCATCACACACGGACTTGTCATAGGAATGTGTATATATGAAATCAGTGAAGGGTTAAGGGATGAGTGAATGGACTTAGATCAAGTTAAGATGACATATTGAAGATGAAAATAACATTGAAGATCACTTGACCAAATAAAATAGGTAATAGTCCATCTAGCCTGGCTGGAAACAAAACAAAGTTTACCATGGAAGGCGGTTCAGTGTGATGACGAATTGTTGCTTTGATTGTAGGAGGTGATTTAAACTTTCCAATTGCCGGCTAGGACTTTCAAAAGCTTTAGGATACGTTCCAAACACGATTTATAAATAGGTATCAAAGATGTGTAAACATTAATTTTATGTCCTGTCTCTATAATATGTTTCGCAGTATAGAAGCTGGTTCTTCTGTTCTTACCATTAATGGGCTCAGGGATTCCATTTGCTTCTGAAACCATTCAGGAGAATATTCTCTGAAGCCAGCCCTTACTTTTAGAGATCGACGAGTCCTCCATATATATGTGTGTCCACTCGCACATTCAAATTGGTGAATACTGTGTGATGTGACATCATTTTTCGCATTTGCAAAGGGCTTAGATGGATGGATATATTGACTTCACATTCTCCATTATTCAGATATTAGCTGCATACAATGTATCTTTAAAAACAGCGTTCAACCGTTGTCGAGTTATCTTTCCATGTAGGGTAGCTTGATTTACACGTCTTTCTTAGCCTTCAGTTGGTGAATGGTTCTTGGTGTTCTGACTATTTTATATCTCCTGATGAACTTGTCTGGATAGTTATTATCAACCAGACTTTGTGTCAACTTTCTTTCTTCTTCATCAAGTGTGTCTTAGTGATATTCGTTAGATTCTACTGAAAAAGCACCACACTAAGGCTCTTCTACATAGAACAGGACAGAAACTGTAGTAATTGAGGTACTGTCCTATCCAGGTATGTTTTCAACAAATAGATCGCTTTATTGATTCATCAGGCTATCGAATAAGGAGTTTATCTGGGAAATAAAAACAGCTATCTTTCTGTACTACAAATGTAAGCGATATGAATATGCGTGTAAAACTTGGACACTGTGGTAGTAAGTAATTCCATATTCGTTTGTTTATTACATGTATCACACAGTCAGTGAAACAGTATTATTTACTGGATGACGAGGCTTCGAACACAATTTATCATTGTTCATAATCATTTTTTCAGATATCTGGCTGGACATGTGTTGAATCATTCCTATTGTAACAACAGAAGACAAGGGCCAGGCAACAGATCCTTTATTAAAGAAATCAACACATATTTATAGATTTTCATGTACATATTATAGATTATTAATAGCAGAAAAACACAGTCCTCTGATTGGTTGTTTCTCACAGAAAGTTAATCCTTCATCTCTTTGTGGCTATTTCTTGAATGTCAGATCATCTATATGCTAACTGTATCCGCCTACGCAAAACCTTTGTTCTCATTTTTCTCAAGACCAATATTGGGGACGTAAACACTGACGTAAAATACTGTCCACCAATTTCGGCTAGCATCTAGCTCTCATGACACTGTTACATGTACTTGCATTTGATTCGATAAATAAAGTTTCTGTTATCAATCTCTCCCTCTCCACTCCGTGACATTAGATTTTAAAGTTGCCATTCTATCCCATCCAATCGTATGGTTATGTGTGACTGCATGTAATGCTATGGCTGAACTATTCTCTAGATTTCTTATCTTATTCGGGTCAACTAATCTAGATTTTGCTGCTAGGTTTTTTATGCTCGGCTAGTCTGACTAACTGACCTTGTTCTACTACTTTGACCTGTGTTTTTGACCTGGCAGTCATTCCAGCAGGGTATTGGATAAAAAATCACGGAAAATACCCATTGAGTCATGAAGAAAATAAAAGACGGATTCAGCGAAGAAAATTTTCTTTATCGACGAAATCATCTTCAGAGGCTGTACAGTCGTATTTATACTTAGAAGAATGTATGGTGGTCTATTATTGAATAATAGGGGGTGACATAATTGCTGTAATTAATCATAAGTGGCTTTAGAGGTGAAAATTAAAAGTTGTAAATTACATGGTACTTGACGGAACAAAGATAGAAGTTAGAAAAGGTTAAAATTGCTCTTGAGTGAGAATAAAGTTATTAGAGTGTCAATTTAACAAGTGTGAAGAAGGTGTGAAAATATATGAAATTGATAATAGTGAATTAATTATTAAAGCAAAAGCAAACTAAAAGTAAAATTAAAGATTAAGAACTCTGAACATTATCCGGCATGGTTAGCAAAGGGACAATGCAAGACAATTACTAGCTCAATTCTCGAGCATTTGGTGAACTCAGGCCACGTAGCTCCACCAGAGTCGTCTTTCAACATCATCTACAAAGTGAAGCCAAATTGTACAAAAGGCGTCAGGTTCCGGCTTTTGTGTATGGCGGAGGCGCTGGCAATACATCAATACAACCCTGATCTCTGTATACAGAAAAAGTTTGTCCAGTCTCTTATTCTACCTTGGTCTTAACCTCTTCACTTATCCTTCCCTGTTAAAAAATATTTTTGATTTTGTTCTTAATCTTTAATTTTACTTTTAGTTTGCTTTTGCTTTAATAATTAATTCACTATTATCAATTTCATATATTTTCACACCTTCACACTTGTTAAATTGACACTCTAATAACTTTATTCTCACTCAAGAGCAATTTTAACCTTTTCTAACTTCTATCTTTGTTCCGTCAAGTACCATGTAATTTACAACTTTTAATTTTCACCTCTAAAGCCACTTATGATTAATTACAGCAATTATGTCACCCCCTATTATTCAATAATAGACCACCATACATTCTTCTAAGTATAAATACGACTGTACAGCCTCTGAAGATGATTTCGTCGATAAAGAAAATTTTCTTCGCTGAATCCGTCTTTTATTTTCTAAATTGTTTTGTTGAATTGGTTCTATAGACACGATCTTTTAACCAACAAAGCTTGTTTCTAACTGAGTTTGTGGGTTTGAATGCCAGGTCGCGCTATTAGAACAGGGGCAGTCAGACCAGCTGAAAATAAAAACCTAGCAAAATCTAGATTGGTTGACCCAAATAAGATGAGAAATCTGGAGGATAGTTCAGCTATAGCACTACATGCAGTTACACACAGCCATACAATAGGATGGGACAGGATGGCACCGACGCACATGGGATAGGTTGACAGTTTTGAAATCTAATGTAACAGGGTGAATGGAGAGAGAGAGATTGATAAAAGAAGCTTTGTTTATCGAATCAACTGCAAATACATGTAATAGGAATGATTCAAC